TTACTCATTCACAAGGGGGGGTACCCTGATGCCAATGAGCCCTCCCTGCCTGCAGATCCTCACAACCACCAGGCCAGGGTTGTGGGGAAGAGGCCCTTGCCGAGGGAGGTGGGGGGGCGCTTGATTGTCCCCTCCCTTTCCAGGCCCTGTGTTCAGATCAAGCGTCTGGTAGGAATTTGGGGGGGGGGGCATGCTTCCCCATCTTTGGGGGTGGGGTTCCCCTTATAAGTCCAACCAAGCCTAAAAGGGCCAGGTATGGCTTTTAGGGGGATCCCACGCACTTAAAAAAAATAATAAAATAATTTTTTTTTTTTTTACTGTAGGGTCCCCCCTAACCTTCATACCAGACCTAAAGGGTCTGGTATTAATTGGGGGGGAGGGGGCATACTGGTTTTTTTTTTTTTTTTTTGTTAAAAATGTTGTTAAAAAAAAATGTCAGTCCTGCTGCAGCAGGTTCTCTACATTGTACAGATGTATAGCATATAAGCCTTCAAAATGGGCACTTTTGAATTTACAAGTTCGAGTCCCATAGTCTTGCATTGAGTTTGAAGTTTGCAGTCATTCATTAGGTTCGAATGTTTGACTGCGAGCTGAACACTGGGGTATTCGGTCCATCACTGATTATCAATATGTAATAGAGCAATTATTGATGGTTTTTATCATGTAGGTATAGTGAAACTTTAAATTCACAGAATTCCTTTGAATACCCAGCTACTACATGGTGAAAGTAGCATTGACATCACTATGCTGCACATAACCTATGCAGAGAGGAGCTGTGGTAGGGACCAAGCAGATCCCATCTACTATATGCTGCCTGCAGAAAACTAAAGGAAGAGGCAGATACAAGACCTCTCTGCCTGTGCAGGGTGACTGATCAATCAACGAATCGTCAAAATTCTGTACAGTATCAAAGTTTCACGTTAGCTTATGCACGATCTGCAAAGGGCAAGAATACACATGCCTCTTGTATTTAGGCAATATTTGCTTTTATTGGACTTCAGCTTTAAGGTTCCAGGCATATATAATATACATAAATGACTTAGAGCTGCGCTCATTGATAAATCTTCAAATTTATTTTTTTAAATGCAAGCAGTGTAAGTAACCAGGGTTGACCTGGCATGAGCCACTTGCAATCCCCTGTGCAGCAGTGCTTAGATAGGAGAGCAAGAAACATCACAAGGAGCAAATCATTCGTGCAGCTATGCAGGGAGCATATTGATAGTAGGAGACCAGAGTGAAATGGAGATGAGGTCATTAGTCTGCTGCAGCTTCTTCTACCACTTCCCAGTCACAGGCTGAAGGTGGGCAAGACCTGTAATTGTTAATGTGTTGCAGCAGAGACTAATGTTAAAATGATACTAAAAGGTACATTCTTAGGTGGTTAAAATAAAAAGATTGTATACTTACCAGTTCTGTGCTCAATGTTGCACAGAACCATCCCTTACCTCTTCTTTGGCAGACACTGTCTGCTCCTACTTCCTCCAGGTGCCTCCTTAGCAAGCTGGGTACTATGGAGGCACCCATGCGTGTGAACTCTTGAGATGAGCTGTGTGCATCCATAGAGACACACAACACCAGTAAGATACGCCCCTGCTTCCTGCTCACATGAGTTTGACTGACAGCAGCAGGAGTCTATGGCTCCTGCTGCTGTCAAGGTCTCCTGGCAGACCAGGAAGGGAGGGGAGCAGGACTACAGCCAAGACAGCGGTGCAGTGGAGTGGTAGCTGGAGTCTGGCTTAGAGTTTAGCTGTAAAGGAAACCTGTATTAAAAGCAGTATCAATACTACTACTGATTACATTTCTTATGGAATTGCTGCTTCCCTTGCTGTTACAGTAATCCAAAGATTCAATACATTTTGTATCACTCACCCAGAACAAGATACATAAGATCAGGAGGTCATAATTTACTTGCTGCTTGTTTGTTCCAGTGTCCTTGAGGTCCAACATGGGCACTATTGCTGTGAGTACAGGTATCCTCATATGCAATATAAGACAGGTACACTTTAGAGATTTTTGACAAAAAAAAAAGCTGTTGATGTTTTTACTGAAATCCAGAACAATGACGTTTTAAAGCTATAGGTTGCAGGTTCAGGTCTGAACTCCCACATCCCCACGCATTATTTAGCAAGGTAGAAAAAGAAAAATGCATTTAAGTTAACACATTTTCCTGAGAAGTTTTCATTAAGTGGAATAACATTGAACAACAATACAAAGAAAACAATTTACCTTGAGTGTTTTAACAACAGTGAACGATCTCTGCCCACACGGTGATAATGGCCTTGCCAAGCTGTCATTTTTTTAATGGTCACCAGGCATCTAACATGAGGATAAGGTTCTATTGTTTGTTTTTGTGTACTTTGCAGCAAATGTTACAAGTAATCCATGGACATAAATTCCTACGCATAAGGTCTGTATTTGGCTAAATGGATCATGTGCATATAAAAATGGAAGTGAAAATAAAAAAAGGGAAGATTTGCTATATTATAGGGTATTTCTAGAAATGTTAATCATGTCTAAGCAGGACTCTAATACTGATTTAAGAAGAAATTTAAAACAAAAAAGGTACGTATTCAAACCCCAAAACAAAAGAGTATTAAATTGCAGCTCCCCAAATTTTAGATGTGTTCCTACCAGTAAGTCTGGTGTTTTTCAACTTCCATAACCACTTCCTGCGCGCAGGACATAGGACGGCTGTAGAGCTGCTGGATCCCCGCCACTGCCTTCCCATTCCATCAGGGAGCCTGGGACTGCAGCCAGTGGTTCTGCTGCTGACCATAGAAATGAGGATGAACAGAAGTTCCCTGATCATCTCTAATGGCTATGAAACCAGAAGCGAGATGGATTTTGTCACTTTCAGTTGGGTTTGTTGCTTGCAAGCCATTACCAGCTTGTAACGGCATCTGATCAAGCCGATAATGACAACTTTTATATTTATTTTTGGTCATCAAAATTAATTTTTTCCCAAACCTTTGCATTTGAAAAACCGCTGCGCAAATACCATGTGACATAAAAATATCGCAACACCAACCATTTTATTCTCTAGGGCCTCTGCTTAAAAAATATATATAATGTTTTGGAATCTAAGTAATTTTTTTAGCAAAAACATGCAGATATTTACATGTAGGAGAGAAGTGTCAGAATTGGCACAGTATTGAAGTGGTTAAACAAACCAAGCTGTCCAAAGTGGCAGTTAGAGGGTAGAGACAACCCATTTACCACTAACCTTACAACGGTTATCTTCTACTCACTTATACCCAAAAAGAAACAAACTGTTTTACTGCAACTGTTTATAAAGTGTTAGCTGTAGATCAGCTTCAATTTGTTAGTCAAGTCCATCTAAAGCTGGGGTGGTCAAACTGCAGCCTTCCAGTTGTTACAGAACTACAAATCCCATGACGCATTTCAAGGCTGACAGTTACAAGCATGACTCCCAAAGGCAGAGGCATGGTGGGACTTGTAGTTCCTCAAGAGCTGGAGGGCCGCAGTTTGACACCTGTGTATAGAGCATCTAATACTACCCTCTCTCCAGACTGACAATGCTATTGTCCAAAAGGTATCTGTTTTACTACTTCACCCAGAATGCAGACACCCTAAGACAGGAAGTGTGTCATTAGTCGGATCACCTGGTGAAATAAATAAATAAAAAAAGCCGAAAATAAAAAAACAAATACAGCCACACCTATGGATTGGCAAACTGCAATATATTACACTTTTGTTTTTGATTTTAATACCACTTTAAAAAGAGCAGTGCATTTCATGTGCCCACAGCTTTGCATATGCAGTGTGAGATCTAAGGCAATGCTGCCCCTGACTGATAGTCCCACAAGATTAGAGGTCATATTTGGAGAAGTCACTGTTATGTTGCTTACTGTTTTACTTGTTGGAGAGGAAGCTGCATCTGAGGACCTGCAGTGCAAGGATCTCCCTGCCTTCAGCTTCAGTTACCCTGTGGATCTGTGGTTTGTACACTTCTGCTGCTGCTTCTTGAGTATTAATCCATCAGCCATCAGATCACCAGTCAACAGACCACCAAGAAGGCCATCTCCACACATAGACACATGCAAAACAAGGCATGGTAAGTCCGTAATGAGGAAAAGATCAGCTGAAAAGATCCGTTGCAGGGAGCTTACAATGTTGATTAGTCCTTTGCCTTCTACTTGCCTTTTATTGGGCACAACTTCCACAGTAAAGGTCTTCTTTAAAGTGGAGGAAAAGCCTAACTATAATTATTCTTAAAATGTTCCCTTCCTCCTCCTCCTGTCCTACCTATGATGCCAAACTCGTATTTAAAAAAAAAAGAAAAAAAAAAAAAAAAGAAGATCTGTTACTTACCTGCTTTTAATCTTCTCTGGTCTGGTCACATGATTCAGCAGCTACTGCTCTCCTGTGTTAGTGACTGACTGCTGCAGAAAGGAGAAGGAAGCAATGACAAGCACTGGACCATGGGAGTCTATGGGTGATGTCATGGCTGTGGGAATTCACTGCTGTTGCTGAGTGCTCCCTTACACATGAGAACCAGAGCTGCAGGATCACATGACCAGGCTGTAGCAGATTAAAAATCTTTTTTTCATACTGGGTAGTCAGGATAGGTAAGAGGAGGGGGGAAGGAAATGTTTTAGGAATAGTTCTAGTTAGCCTTTTCTCCCACTTTAAGGGTATTAGGTTTAGAAATGTGTGGCTAAATCTAACTTGAGCCAGTACATCATGAATGCCTAAAATTTCTAATGCTAATTGCAAGCCAGTAATATGTAATAAACTTACAAAAATGTTATTTTATTTTAAATTACATTTAAACAAATCTTACAATTTTTTTTTAACATACATCACTTATTAAACCAAAATATTTGAAGATGGCATATAGGAGAAGTCTTGAAAGTCACATGAAACAGGTTAATCAAAGGTGAGAAAGCTCCCTTGGCACTCCTCCCACTGCACTTACTCCATTCACTGAGCACCAATTGGCAAAACCAATAGACATGTCTTGAGCATAGCCAATTCATTTAAAGAGACTGCTGTCGTTTTTCCAAGCTTCGTTCAATATCATCGATCACCTGGACGGCTGCTGGGAATTCGGGTTCCTGGTCCAAACACACTGGAGACTCCAGTATTATATAGGAAGTCATAGTCCTGTAGAAACGAGAAAAAACAGGATAAGCATTATATAAAAAGGAGGGAAAAGATGGAATCTGTTTAATAATACCGGTGACAGAAAATGGTGTAATCTATTACATGCAAATTCCAACAGATTTATTTATTTATTTATATCAGGTACTTATATAGCGCCATCAATTTATGCAGTGCTTTTACATACATAATGTACATTCACATCGGTCCCTAACCCTCAAGGGGTGTACAATCTAAGTTCCCTAACTCACATTCATACAATGTTTAAGCATTGTTAAATATAAAGTAGATAAATATACAGTGAAAATACACACGTTTATCTGCTGAAACATCTGATTCTGTTCCGCTTTGTTGGCGATTCACGAACCCCTTCCATACTTGAAGGACGAGTTGGGTGACACCATTTTTTCTGTTGCAGTTAAGACAGTATTGTCCCCTCCTTGCCCCTAAAGCTGCCCATGGATGGAAATTCAGCTGGTTCAGCAGGGACTGGTCAAATTTCCATCCACCTATGGACAGTCTGACTCGACAGAAGGCGATCTAACAATTGACTGGGACGGGATGTTAGAAAATGTTCATCTTTTCAACGGGCAGCAGCCAAATTGGCAATGCATTCTGACAGCGGAGGAATCCCTGCTGTCAAAATATAATAGCACAGCGGGGAGGATTCCACCATCCACTTTGCTTGTGTGAATGATGGAATTTGCTCACTTTTTTCCATCAATTCTCTTGCTGATCAAAAAAAAAAAAAAAAGACCCATCTATGGCCAGCCAAAACCCAATAATTGTACGATAAAGAAGCAGAAGCATACCAATGAGGTCATACTTAGTCTCTACCTGTATGTACTGTAGGTTCACAATGGCAGACTGACAACACAATACAATAGAGCCTTAAAGCGGATTTCCAGTCACTCTGTAAAAAAATAAAAGTCAGCAGCTACAAAACTGTAGCTGCTGACTTTTAAAAAAACAGCCACTCACCTGCCCCATGATCCTGCGTTGCCCCCACCGCAGCCAGTTTCACCGGCTGTCCTGTATTCAAGGTGCCGGCATCTTCAGTGTGGGCACCCGGCAGTGACAACTTGTGGCTTCACAGCCGGTTGCCCACTGCGAGCAGTGCCGCGCTCCTGAATGGCCACGTCGTCTTTTGGGACCGGTCACGTGTTCCACAAGACTTCAGGGGGGAGAGGATAGGAGGACAACTTCTGCTTCCGATTGCCTAGGCAATCGCAGCAGAAGTGGGAGCGGGTACCTGTCAAATTCGGGTACCTGCTCCCCAAAGGTGCCAATCCTTAATGGGGAGTAGGGGACCAATCTTTAAAGTGGAACTCCGCTTTAACTGGGTAATATAAAAGAAAAGTCATTGACTTTGAATTTTGATTTCTTTTCTCAACAACAATTGTAACTGCATTTAGGGTTTTTTTTTTATACATTTTTTTTTCTTTCTTGCGGTTTACTACCGCTTTAAATTTAAAATTCCCCTGCAAGGTAATGTCATGATGTGCTAGTATGCATGTATACTACCACATTATGTAAAACTTACCTTAAAACGAAGCCCTGCAGCAATGCACTGTCACTGCTGCAGAGGCTTCCATCTTCACCCGATCCTTCTTTCGGGTTTGCGATCTCCGGCCGTCTGACAGGCTGAGCCATGATGACGTCACGCCCGCACACAAGCGCGCAGCAGTCCTGGGCCATAGCACACAGCTCTGAAGGAACAGCATGGGTATGCCGTTCCTTCAGAGTACATGTGCCAGCTTTAGGAAAGAGACTATCTCCTAAACTGTGCATGTTTAGGAGATATTCATTTTACCTATATGTAGACTTTAATATAAGCTTACCTGTAGGTAAAATAAACAAAAAAACGAGTTTACTACCACTTTAAAACACTATGCATTCTCTTTACATTACCTTTTCCTGACTCCATGGCTAGGATACATTACATTTCGTCCTCTTTTTAATACATGTGACCTCACTGGCCTCTGAGGCAGGATCAGTGTAGCGTTGCCACCTCATCTCTTTAATCCGGAACACATAATAATTACACAGGTTCTGAGGCTAATTTAATGCATATAAGGCACCAAGTGAGTTTAATTACCACCTTAAGCGACCACAGAACCTGCGTAATTAATGTGTTCCATTTTAAAAGGATGAGGTGGCAACCCTAGACCAGTGGCAGTTGCTCCACCCTAGCCATGAAGTTATGTACAATCAGTCTCCAGTAGCAAAGTGAAACCAAATCAGAGAGCGGGACACAGAGGAGACATTTATGGGCAATAAAGGTGCATCAGCCATCTTATGGTAAAAATGTGGTGTAAAAATCAAGTAAAGGATGCATTTAAAGCTAAATTTAATGCAGCTGCTGCTAACCTTTGATTTGGTCTTGATGGGAGGTTTCTGAAATCCTCAGTACAGCAGAGTTCAAACTGGAAGATGGCTGGTTCAGATAAGAAGTCAGTCTCTGCTGGCAGGGAAAATACTGACTGGAGGATCATGCAGAGTTATGTTGAATCAGTGTGCTGCTGCTCCTACGTTGTTCAATGCGCATCTTTAATCAGCTATGTCCTTGACCAAGCTGTGCTGCTGCATCGGATGTTAAAAACCTGGCTGTGATGTCTAGCAGGGGTGACAGATCGCAAGACTTGCTGCACTGAAATGAAATCCTTTGGCAGGTAAAATGCATCGGGGGGCTTCTCCGGAATCTAGATTTGACTTGAGTTTTATATTGTCTACTTTAGCCAGATTTTAATGTGAGTTGATGACATTTTACCATGATTCTATGTGGAGCAGCCAGACTTGAGAGTTACAGGGGGCGGTGCTCAGAAACAAGGAACACTTGCTGTGCTCTTTTAAAGGTTTAGATCCATGATCATTCAGAAAAGAGGGTTAAAAGGCAACTATAGATATTCATCAAGTGGCACAAGATGACGATTGGGGTGAAAAATAGAACTGCGCAACAATAGATTGTGTACCCCTGAACGTGTTTAACCTGTTGCCGCCCACGTAACACATACAGTATACAGTATGTGAGACAGCAAAAGGATGGGGGTTTAAACACCCACATGCTGCATATATACAGTGCTGTGCAAAAGAATTTGCCTTTTTTTTCTGCATATTTGTCACACTTAAATGATTCAGATCAATCAAACAAATTATATTACACAAGGATAACACACGTATATACAAAATGGAGTTTTTAAACAATTTCATTTATTAAGAGGAACCTTAAGTATGTTACAAATCCAAGTATATTACACTCACATTTAAAATATATAAAAAGCGCTAAGTGTCATAAAAGCCTGTGCCAGCTGCCGAGGCATGTACTTGCCGTCTGCCGCTTGCTCTCTCTCCTTCCGAGTGACGTCGTAGCCCCACACCTACACATTACGCCATAGGTCACATGGCTTCATCAGGGGGTTGTGATGAAGCCACAAGATCTATGGCGTAACACGTAGGGGTGGGGCTACGACGTCACTCGGAAGGAGAGAGAGCAAGCGGCAGACGGCAAGTACATGCCTCGGCGGCTGGCACAGGCTTTTATGACACTTAGCGCTTTTTATATATTTTTAAATGTGAGTGTAATATACTTGGATTTTGGGAATAAAATACTTTATTTTAAGGATAAAGCACTATGTCTCCACTTTCTCTTTGTGTGCTGAGGAACGAATAAAGAGGAGTAACAGCAAGTGATCTATAACAGCTGAAGGAGGGATTAATCCCTGCGGGGATATACAGCTCATAAGGGGATAGCCTTACTAATCCATAAGGAAGGACCTTACATCCATTCCATACTGCAATTATTCTGGCAGGTTCCAGGTTTGGTGAACCACAAGCGTGTATAGCCTAGTTTTAGGCATAGGAGGTGAGCGTACATCTTTATTGGTTGGAGGATTCACGGAAAGTCACAAATTGTTGATTTATGATCACCTTATCACTAATATTGGACTATTGATTGATGGGACTATTATGTAAAATTTCAATTTGTTTTTTTTTTTTCCACAATATTATTCTTGATTTTATTTCACTGTCACTTTATTTAAATTTTTTTATTTATAATTTTGAATTTATGGTGTGTGGTATCACAGAAAGTAATATATATATATATATATATATATATATATATATATATATATATATATATAGTATTGTGGTAATAAGGAGCGCTACATTTATAGGTATAATAATTATTTAAAAACTGTATTTTGTTTTTATGGTTATCTTTGTGTAATATTAAAATCTCTTTGATGATCTGAATCATTTAAAGTGACAAATATGCAAAAAAAAAAAAAAATCAGGCAAATACTTTTTCACAGCATTGAATACATCACTGGCTGGCCAATGTAACTGTGCTGAGAGCACACTCAAAGACTGCTCTTGGTCCCGATAACAATCGGTGACTTGCAAGACCAGTTCCCAATCATATGACCACTGTGACAATCACAGTGGTCACATGACATGATCACCAATCACATTGGTCTCATGATTGCCGATTCTTCCCACCCCCCGAGCATACAGACTCAATTAAAAAAAACTCTGGGGCTAGAAGGAAAGTGGTTAAAAGGGAAATTGTTCATGCCTGTGCTTTTGGCATACCTAAAATGTATTCAGTACATAAACATACCTATCTATATCAAATTCTGTATTGCACAATATTTTGTATTGCTCAATATTTGTCTGTTTTATTTTCAAGGAAGACTAAACCCTGTAAGAGGTAATATCTTCCAGCTGGCTATTCTTGGTTTATGATATCCTGATCTGACTGCAAATGTCCATGCAAAACCTTTTCTTGCCAAGATTCCATACATAATCTATGCTTCAGTCTGAAAGTCTGAGTTTACTTCCAGAAATTGTATTTATCTCAACAATTGCAGAAAAACCCATCCAAATCTACTAAATATGTTATTTCTTACATGTATTTGTATAGTGCCATTAATTTACACAGCGCTGTATCTACTGTACATTCACATCAGTCCCTGCCCTCAAAGGCATAGCAAAACACTGGA